TGTCCAGGCATAGCCACAGAGTGTGTAAACACGTGGAAAGGGGGTTTGGCCTCTCTCGTACGAGGTTACGAGGGTGCACCGGAGATGGTGTGGCGAAACGAGGCACGGGGTAGGGGGTTGATTTTCGTTCTCGGATGTAGGCGCAGAGACCGGGTGCAGAAATCGTGTGGGTTTCTATCCCCGCGGGCTATATCCCCGGAATCAGCTGCCAGATTATTCTATTACCGCGTATCAACATGGGGTTTGTTTGGTCTGAAAACACAAGCCCGCCACATTGTTTCAGCCAGATAAAGAATTTAACGTCGGGTAATTAAAAGGACTGGCCTCGGGGACAGGTCCGTCGAGGGGTCGCGAGAGCCGCGGAGGACAGTTCTCCTCTTTGGTTAATACTTTGGCGAAACGTTGTTGGGCTGCCGCCCAAACGTCTCCGACAGGTTCTCGCGCCTGTAAATCCCTCCTGGGGACATTTTGAGCCTCCGTTTAGAGTCTCGCGACTCGGCCGCGCGTAAATGCACTTTGGCCCGTAACGCGGAACTATTCTGGTATCGGTGGAAATGAACGATGCGCGAAAGTGTAATTGTCTAAATTGTATCGAGTGAAGGATGATGATAAGATTTTTTTAAATGTCGGATTAGAAGAGTTGAGATATAGAGATGAAGGGTTAAAATCGTAAACTAAAGTTCATTGAAAAATATAGTTTGGTACAGTGTTACATTGAGATTAATATAAAGAGTGTCTCACTTATAATAAATATCTGAATTATTCCTGACGGTATTGAACGTAAAAATAATAAATAATGATACAAAATTTTTTTCATTTTAACATCAATTTTTTTTTATAATGCGAAGTTGTAGCCGATATAAAGTCAGCAACCTATGACGCTATGATCTTAAAGTGACGTTAAACAGTAGAAAAAGAGAATAACTTCAAAATGATATTCATTCAAGCTAACTTTGAGGAAACTTTTTTATCTCTAGTTGTACGTTCTCAAACCATATTATAATCTCTCTTTAGTCATATCTTTCTTATTTTCTATATCAACGGAAATAATTTAGACGTTCGTTGTAAATGAGACATCACGTATAATGAAAGATTTCTCGCGACAGATTTTTATTTTCCAAGGGACAGTATATTTGTGATGGTTTCCGTGGTAGTTGTTAATGATATCGTTTACTGTCCGTAATGGAAGAGAACGAAACGATTCCGAGGATGTTTAGCAGAGTACGAATCGGCACCTGTTACCATCGACAGAAAACACGGAACGATAATTAAAGGTACTTAAATTGAATTACATACGAAGAGGATCGTATCAGTGTGTAATCGTTTTGGTCAATTTAATTATCGAGGATAGAAATTTTGTAAATGTTTGCAGACTCCGTGTGTGGATTTTCATTGAGAGAGATTTTCACGTGTACGCGGGTCGTGTGAAACAACTGTTGTACACACATGTAGAAGTTACAAATGATTCGCGGAAAAGCAAATTTCAATGACCAATAACTATCCTGTCTGGGTGTAACCAACATTTTCTCCAACATAAATTACACGTTACGTGTTTCATTTTCGTATTTCACCATTGTTTCACCAATTATACAGATTTTTTCACATTCGAACTTACTAATTTTCCAGAAAAATTTTTGCAAAATGGAAACATTATCCGTGCGAATTACAAAATATTCGACGCAATGTGTAACTAACGATCTAGTGGAAAATTAGATCGTGTTACTTCCACCCCCGTTTCACATAATGGTAATATCATAATAATGCCGGGCAACTAACGTAATAATTGTTTGATCATCACCGTATGCTCACCGCGTGTCGCGCAAGCAACATTGTTCGCCGGTTTTCCGCGGTCAACGTAATTACACTACTTCGATAGTTACAACACCATCGATTCGTGCGTGATTACGCGTTAACGATTGTTAGCAAATATTTGCAGTAGCCGGAGCGGTGTATAAATAACCGTTACCTCGTTGCTTCGACTACGAACTTTCCGATTCCGAAAATACCAGATTCCACGTGAACACCTTTATTATCCTATGTACATATATATACATACGTGCCTCTATACAACAAAATAGCAAAAGCTGTATAACGTGACATGTTAACTTTCGATAACAAAAATTGTCGTTATTTCGAAGAAACACTCGGAACGAACGAACGGAGAACGATCGTGAAAAAGAGAGAGAAAAAAAAACGCGAAACAGAAGAAATCTCTGTTCACGTTCATGAATGGAGTATACACTGGAGGTGGCACTTTGAAAAAATTTGCTTCCCATACCGAATGATCAGAGCCCCTCTCTCTCTCTCTCTCTCTCTGTCTCTCCCTGCCGACGTCGGTGTGTACGAACAGACAGAAATTGTCAGCGGGAAAATAACGAACCGTCGGTCGATTCGTCGCCGCCGAAACAATAACAATCGGCGTGTGCTCGACGATGCGGTAATTAAAATAAAATTAATTGGATTGGTCGTGTGCGCGTTCCCGTACGGGAACTTTCGAAGGAGATGGCTGTACAGCCGTAGGGGCGTTTTGTGCGTTATTGCATATAATGCACTGTTTATTCTGCATTCTCCCTCCACACCGGCACCCCCTTTTCGTATACATTCACGTATATACGCGGCAATCCGCTTCTTCTCTCCTCTTTACTCTCCATGAATCTTTCCGTACCCGGGATGTACCTACCATGCGGACATATCCATTGGATTTAATAGATACACGTTTCATTCTACACCGGTGTGATATTCGATTTGCGCGGAAACCTTGCTGATAATGTGGTATAATGCAAAAATATTCTATAGTTGGATAATTCCAAGTTTTTCGCCAATCGAAACTTTTTTTTATTAACGCGTTCATTGTGGTTTTTCGTTGAATACTAGCTAAGCTGATATTTCCATCATTTTTCCATTATTTTCACCGTATTAGGCACCGATCGAACCTTTGTAGGGTAAAATGAAATAGGTGAAATATAGCGAGTAAACGAAAGTCCTAAAAAAAAGCTATCGCAGTGAAAGTGTTAAAAGTTTCAAATTAGAATGAACAAAAAAAAATTCAATTTATTCAATCTGTAAATCTGTTTCTTTCGTAGAATTTACGAATATTGTTTAATCGAGCTATGCTATATTTTTTCAACATTGATACTGCTAACTTTAATCCAGCTGGTGTACATGACAGCGCATCCAGCTTGTCTGAAAGAGTTAATTATTAATTGGAGAACAAATATGTTGATGTGTAAATTTTGAAAGAAACGAACGGGAAGAAGTGCGCGTTAATATCGAGTAACGAAAGTAATTGAAATATCGAAAATTATTGAAATCTGCGTCAACAATCGGCGAACAATTCCAACATTCTGCGTCCCTTTTTCCTCGTGGTCGTGATTCATAGTAGGTACACGTCTTTTCCCGTAATAATTCATTCGAACGAGCTTTCGAGATTTAGCCGGTGTACAATTCGACCAATCGATCCACCGTTTCTCGATGTGGAACCGTTACGCGAGGGGTGGTTCATTAAAATTTCACCCGACCGAGTTGTCTTGATCTTTGATTTGCTCGGCGGAAAGTTCGCCCCGACGTGGAACCTTGCGGGGATCAGGCCGATTTCAGCTTCAAATTCACTTTGACTCCCGACTGCTGCACGGATTCCCACGGGATACATCCGTTCGAACCTCTTTCTTCTCGTTTTACTAGAAAAATTGAGCAAAGATACTCTCTGCTCCATTTTTGTTATCTCGATGGATACCTGTTAAAGAATGGCTGCACTTAAAGTTGAAAAAGACTACCCTGTTTCGACGATCTATATGTGTGTGTGGATGTTCCACTTAGCGAGATAAATATTACACGTATCTCTTATCATTTTTTTTTTATATCATTAGCACAAGTTTAAAGAATTGTTTCGAATAAACTTTTGAAGCCTAAAAAACGTGTTTTACTAGAAAGAAATTACACGGTGAAATATAAGGGGTGAATGAAATTAGATTTTATCGAAATTCTTTTATATTTAACATGCGAATAGTAGAATTTTTTTTCTTTTTTTTTCTGGAAAATCATGCAAATATGTTTTTCACGGTGTCCGTAACAAGAATTATTTACCGTTAATGCACTCGCGGGGCTCCTAAATCCAATAATGATCAGAATATTACCCGAAAAGTAGGGTTTCACGTTATTTCCATCGTGTATCGGCGTAATTTTATAAACACTTTGAAAATTTTGTGTCACGATCTGGCTTCCCGCGTTGAGATTGCTTGACGTTTTAAGGTTTCATCTACTTCGGAGGAAAATAATTACAAAATCACAGAACGGAACACTTTAAATCTTTCGTCAGCCCTTTTGAGAAGCCGCATTTGTCTAGCTTCACGGCTCGACCCCTCCCTCCCCCCTACTTTCTCGACTTCTCAAATAAAACTATTCATATTTCGAGGAGTATATTTGAACAAGCAGAAGGGGGGAGAAAAATATATGTAAACGACACAATTTCTTCGTTATTAAATAGACCCAGCGAGCGCTAGGGAGCCAATAAAACATTTTTATTACAACGTTTTTACCTCACCGCCCTTGTCCCTTCTGCCCCCTTCGTTTGCCAATCTCGATGCAACACGAACCGATCTGCACATTGCACAAAATTATTTTTCAATTTTTCCCATTCCAAAATATCTTTCGGCGACAAATTCAAATTCCACACGGGACGATCAAATGGCACATATACTATATACATAAAATTCATTACCCTGTGTTAGGTTATATCAAAAATTTTTCTTCCAAAATCACAGTTCAAACAGCTACAATGTAACGGAAGATCATTGTAGGATAATCAGTAATCCTATCAACAAAAAAAAAAAAATTACGAAAAAGTGAAATATCATATTTCGTTGACGATTAAAATATGAGCTGATTTGAAAACAAATCAGATATCCGTGAATTTGGCGAATCGGTGTTAAATTAAGCGTAAAGTGGATATGATATGAGCGTTTATCGAGAAAGGAAGAGATTAATGTGAAAATTGAACCAAAATGGCTGACGTGGAGGAAACCGACGAAGATGCGACCACTGATAATGTCGACGACGACACCACAGATTTTGCAGACACAGATGCAGCGGAGGATACGGAAGCAGATGGAGCTGAAGGTGAGGAACAACTGTACGAAGAAGGAGAAGAAGGGGTATCAGCGCAGGTTGAAAAGAAGGACAGGAAGAAGAAAAGCTGGATGGAACGATGTTTGGATCAAAAATGGAAATGCGACGACTCTCCTCTCTGGAAACTTTACATGAACGCGTAAGAAATATCGAGGCAATTAAATACATCTCGTGCATCACCTAACTCGCGTGATCAGTATCGTGGTTTCTTCAGATTTCTAGAGGATCAACAACAATTAGAGAAAGACGATATTTTCAAGCGCAGAAGACCTGCTCGTCTTCAAAAATTTCCTAAAGTTCAATCAGAGGAGGATTTGAGTACACCTTACAAGTGCTTACCTCTTAGCACTTTCCAGCTTCGAGATAAGTTGAGGCTACCTGACAAAGTCGATCGATCGCAAATGATACGAATTTGGAAGAATATGCGCGCGAACCTGCCAGTTAGTAAAGATGTGCAATTTTGATTTTCGTTTAATTCCAACGATGCGCGCATAAAACTTAACTTCCAACTTAGTTAAAATAAAACATAATGTCTGAAAAGTATCAAAAAAATTCTTAGTTACGAGTCATTTCTCTAGGTTCAATCGTCGAAATCCGACACAGCGATAGATGCTCCGGTGAAAAAGACAGACAGCAACAAATGGCCGGGCATGTGGCCCTGTACGACGCGAGATTTAGCGAAAGAGATATTAGAGAGACGAAGACAGAAGAGAAAAACGCGAAAAGATCTGTTTCCCTGTGATCCAGACGACATACAAGATGTCTTCGACGATCCGGACAAAGATTTCTCCGATCGTAAGGAATTAGGTCACGCTAGAGTTCCACAATCGTGTCCTTTACCGAGGAAAGAGCTGTTAGTCGATCAAGCTGCAGGTGAACAGCACGGTTTAGTTAACGGTGATTACATAATTTTCGAGTTACCGTCGAAATCGCGCGGCAACAGGGTGTACGCAGATGTATGTCTTCGGGGGTTGAAAGGTATGCATTTGCCGGAACTGGGTTTGCTGCGAACGCGAAAAAGGACGTGGAAATTCTGCTTCTATCAGGCTGTTGTTGCACTTCTCGCTAAGACACAGTTAAGGTATCTCATATGTATGAATTTTGTGCAATGTTTTAATCTCATAAACTTCGTTAATCCTTTAACGCTCGCATTTTTCTCAACTTGATGTACCAAAAGTGATCGATTTTATTTTTTTTTCAATTATTTCTTAGGCGTGCAGAAATAAGTTTCCCATTTATTTATAATGCTGTGACTTAAAATATTTGTGATTTTTACCATAGAATAGAAAGGATAGCGCAATGTGAAAAGTGAAAGAAAATTGCACTTTTTGGAGGGTTAGTTGTGGGGTTAAAGGGTTAATAAGAGAGCGATGCACTTAGGGAGTTGTCTTTGTCATTAGAATATAAATTTTTCTATTTTTTTCTATTTTTTTAAATTAGGAAATTCTGATTACAAATTAGGAATACTGATAATTCACAGTTAAACTATAAAAATGAAAAGTTCATTTTCATTGTATTACTGAATGTAGAAATCTATTTTCAAAAGATACAAATACGCTTGGAGCGCGAACATCGACTACATCTACGACCACGCGTGGATGTTGTACACTCACATCGGCATGATCAACATCAAGGATAAGCAAAGATTAGACGACATCGTCGTGTACAACTACAAATACAGCATCGAATTGAATTTAGTTCTCGAATTAAACGACGTTCCTATACTGACTGATATTCCTTGGGATTACGAGGAGAGCAATATGAGGCATAAAATGGTCCTGCATCGGAAAGAATTGATGAACTTCACGTTGGAAATCGGTTCTGAGAAAATAACCGACAAACAAAGTTCATCGGTTCACGAAGAAATCAGAAAGATCGAAGAATGGTTCGACACGTTAAAAATTCGTTATCGTAACTGCATATTTCGTACCACGCGATTCTCCGTAGCTTTTTGGAGGGACAATCTCTTCTGGTACCTTTACAATCCCTATCGATGCGACGAATTCGGTTATTTCGACGATTCTGGATACGCCTGTATCCTGAAGTTCTGCTCGAGGGAATCTCTCAAAAGACACCTGATGATCCTCTTGCTAAGATCCTAGGAAATTGCGGATCAACTGGCAGACATGTACGAAGAAGAAGGTATGGAAGAAGCAGAAATCGTAGGAGAAACAGAGCAAGCAGAAGACACTCCCGAAGAAGAAATTGAAAAATGCTACACGATCCAGATTTATCAGATGACCTATCACTGCTGTCAAATTCACAACCTGAAATTGTTGCAAAGAGGTGCACCAAAACCACCGAGACACTTAGTGAAGAAGAAAACCATCGACGATTGTCCCTTCGATCCTCTCGACGTGAGAGATCCGTGCACGATCGAGCAAGAGGAAGAAGATCTGAAAGAAACGATCGAGAAACCAACGTGGCTGAAACTGTACAAAATTACTTGGGCCAAGTGCATGGCTGTTCCTCAGAAGAAGAAGAACAGAGAAGCTGGAACTGGAAAGATGCGCTGGCACCAGTACGTCGTTGAGGAATCGAACAAACTCTTCTCCTTATGGGGCGAAATTCACATCACCGATGGCATGTTCGAGAAGGAAAATCGCGGGATGCAAACGTACGCTTGTTACGTGGTCTGCGCTGGCATGACTAGGATCATGGCGCCTGAATACTGGAGCTCGAAGACTCTCGACGTGATCGTCATGTGTGGCGACAGATATTACACTCACAGTAAATTAGAAGCAGAATTCAAATCGACGAAAAATGAATACAGACATGTGAATTGTTGGAACAGGTATCTAATGAGTCATTTCAAGATCGGAGAGACCATGTTCGAGGCGAATGTTCTGCCAGCGATCTGTGGTAGATTGTACGCTAAGTCGGGGAAATATTTATGGCAATCGTTGGAACAGATGTTCTTGAAGTATTGTTTCGGGATTCTGACTTGTGAGAGTTCCTGTTTGGGCGTTTTTAAATTTTGCGGAGCTTATTACATGTGTGACGTGAATTCTCTTGGTCCACCGCTGTTTTCTTACGGAGAAGGCGCAGTTTATCTACTGAGGGCCACGTATTTTCAGAAATTCATCACTGCTTTGGTGCTGACGATTGGTTCACCGGAATGCAGTCAGTTCGCTCTGAATCCTATTGAGATATTAAAGGTCATCGACGTGGGTCCGTCTGCGTTCCCCGTTGGAAGAATTGAGAAGAAGGAGAGGTCTAAAAGGGTGACCAAAGTGGAGTGTCCGTATGACGAGGAGAAGAAAAAACAGATGAAGAAGTGGAAGCACAAGAGAGCGGAGACTGCTCGCACGATCGATAAATTGTGTTGCAAAGGTGGCGAATAATCGCGAATTTTCTTTATCCTGTATAATTGTGCCGTGTAAATCTTGTATACGTATAAAAGTGACTTGAGCCAAATGCAACGTTTCAAGATTAAACGTGTCATGCTTGAACGAATTACAATTTTATTGCGTTTTATTTTACTTGTAAAACTATAAAACACTGCGCTGTTTCAGCGAAGGAATTAAATTTCTACAGCTCGAATCGCTTAAACAGCGAATTCGCTTGTTCGCGAGTAACGTTAACAAAACTCCGACCGAAAAGTTTCATCCAATTATAGGAAATGTAACTAACAGACTGGCGGATTACCAGCCGATATTATTCTTTTCATCGTGCTTGAACCGCACACACTCGTTTCCCACACTTATTAACTTAGCCACACTTATTGAGGATTCGATCGACAACTTTCGTTTCAATCCCCGCATCAGCTGCTGGAAAATTTCCCCTACCGGAAGCTTTATCGGTGCAATTGAAATCTACGACGTAATTAATTAGCCGTCCGCAAGTGAGTATCGAGTAAAGAAAATATCAAATAACTAGGAGGCAAAAGTTTCGCCAGTTTTGAATAATTGAGAAGGAAAAAGGGTTTCTCTCTGTCGAAGTAAGAGAACGGTGAAAAATAAAGGAAGCCGCGTTTAAGTCGATCGTCTTTAGGTCTCAGTGCAGCCACGGCGCGGAACCTATTAAAGTTGTATCGCAAGAGAACGTCTTAGTTCCTGGTCGCCCTCGGGATTTATGTACTTACTCCAGGAACTTGGCTGGAACTTTCCTTCTCGCGGTGAACTTACGGTGTCCATGAGCCGGCGCTACCACCGGGTGGGCTGCTCTTTCACCCCTATCGCACAATACTAATAATATAATCGTCGAGGCACGTAGAACTAAGTTCCAACTACAACACCGCGGAAACTGCCGGGGGATTTTAATCACCGATCCATTCTGTAACGGAGAAGTCAGCACTCGGTATGGTTTCGTAGTGTTATACGTGATAATAATTGGAGGATGAAGAGTTGGAAATGCTTCCTTCAAAAATTATTCATTTTTCAACTATCATTTAATATATTATTTTTGGGTGAAGTGACTGATGATTATCGTCGATCTTTCATCTTTTTTTTTCTGAGATGTTTGTGAAGGTTTTAGAGCAGGCTGCCCAACTCGCGGCCCGCGGGCTGCTCGTAGCCCTGGAGGGCTAATTACGTGGCCCGCAGGCAGCACGTAGCTCTAAAGAGCAATGCGGAAGATTGTAAATTTTTAACAATATTATGTGATTTTTAGCAATGTTTTTCATGTCAGACATTAATTTTCTGAGACTTCAGGATGTTTCCTGGTTTTATGAATTTTACATCCAAGGTATCTCTAAATTATATGAATTTTGTGAATTTTTAAAGCAAGTAGTTTTTATCAATAATACTAAAATTGGAAGTAACCAAAGAAATTTCTCTTTTACTCGTCGATCTTTGTTAAAATTCCACTGTTTCCTCGAAAACTTCCCAAAAAATCTACTTCAACAATTACGAAAAGGATTAATTCACGTTAGTAAAAAAAGAGCGTATCTTCGTTCATATCTCGAATCAATAATTTATTTCACTATCTATTATACACATCGATCGTAAGTTATATGTACAAACATATTTACACCCTAATTCGGTATTTACACGTGTCCCCTGTGCAAAGGGGGCTGGAAAAACCTGTCCCGTGTTCTGGATCTCCTTGACCGTCGACCAATTGAAACGAATGTAAAAAAAGGGAGAGAAAAAGATCTCTAGAACCGATATTTCGACTACGCCACTTCTAGGTCCGAGCTGTCGGTGTCCTGTTCGTGTTGTTGTTGCTGCTGTTGCTGTTGCTGCCTGGTCAACGTCAAATGATCGGCCACTTTGACCGTAGGCGTGGGCACGTTGTCGTCGGCTCGTTGACGTTGCTCCAGCTGAAGTTTCCGCATACGTTCCTGTTCTTCCCGTTTCTGTTTACGCCACTTGGCACGTCGGTTCTTGAACCACACCTGGAATAGGAAATGTTTGATGAGGGAAGCTCGTCGTGCCTGGTCGGTCGCGTTTATTTTGTACAAGTTCTCGCACGGTAGCCGGGAAAACCGATGTTCCTCTGTATTGGGAAAACGCTCGAAATGGAATCGAGGCGAGCAACGTGTAAATAAAATGCTCTCCTTTTTTCAATTTTTCGAAAGTTTCCGTAGTTTCTTCTTGCAGTAGGCTTTTAACACTTCTGCGAGAGTAATTTGTAGGGTTGCATTCAAAATTTTGAAAATAAAGTTTAAGAATTAAAAAAGAAAATTCAGAACTAAAAGATAAAGTTCAAAGTTGAAAAAAAAAATATTGTTAAATTAACGTGAAATTTGTAATTTATCTGTGATACATAATTTGTTTAAATGTTAATTGATCGACTTAAGAAAGTTATCTTTTAATTATCATAGATGATGAATTAGTAACTTCTTCATGATTACATTCCGATTCCAACGCTTCGTTCGTTTCGCCATAGATTCGCTTTCATCGTGAAATTATTAAACAGAACTTAATTTCTACCAGGTGAGGTAGAGCGCTTAATTGATAACCCCGTTTACCTGTGATGTATCTGATCGAGAAGGCGAGTAACGAGGCAAGGGGGAGGGCTAGCGAAGATCAAAAGGCTTCATCCCACATTCGAAATCAGCATTTGTTCCTCACGCTTGTCCGACTCGATTTAAATGAAATCTGACAATCAATAGCTCTCCGATTCTTACAGACAGAGATACACTTCATCTTTCCAGTTCATCTCGCTGATCTGATTCTTAGCTGTTGAATTATACAATTATCCCACACTCGTGTATATTTCATCCATTTCTAATTTCATTCGAGATCAATTTTCTTATTTTTATAGAAATAATCGATTCTTAACGTATTTCACAATTCAACATATATCACTCGAACATTTTCGTCGAATTTCAAATCTGATCCATAATTAAACTTTCTTTTCCGATTCAATCGTTACAGGATCGATGATTTTACATGTAATTCTCCTTTTATAGCCGGGCGACTGTCGTTTTCGTGTATCCGTATTCTGTTGATGCAATCACGAAGATAGGAAAAGACCGTCGCACGGGTAAACAGCCGTGCTTCTTTCCAAACACACAGAGGACTGAGTGCTTTAGGCCTTCTCTCGAGCTGTGTTTCTCGAATCTTTCCCTTTATTTTCCCCCTTTTTTTCTTTCCTTCCCTCCACCGGCTCTCCTCCTTTTTCTCGTTTCGAAAGTCGCCTTTCTACTAATTCTGTACAAACACCGAAACTCTTGCACGATGCGGCAGGTGCGCTGCAGGTATATGTTGTTTCAAAGTCTTTAAAGACTCTCGAGACGAGGGATTTCCTTTGGCAAAGCCGACGACGCGGGTGGTCTGTTGGTCCACGATAAGTGTGAATGACTTTGGGATTGTACGATTGTTCGAACAAATTGCCCGCCGCGAATAGAAAGACATTCCTTGATTCCACTCCTCCTTACTTTTATCACAGTCCTTCTCGCGATAATTTCCTCGGCAGAGAAACGTGTTTGCTTGTTTAAACAGAAAACACAGAGTCGTTGAAGAGTTGATAGTACACTTTTTCCTCCAAGTTATATCTTTTCTCCATTCTTTTATTAAAATTTTCATTCTAATCTTCAATGTCTCGAAAGAAAATCATTTTGTAAGTTTGTCTTCCGTGTTACATTTCGTATTTCGGATACTTGAAACATCATGCTTTACCGAAGTGTGTTTCTAAAAGATCTCCTAAGTTCTTTCTTCCGAAAAAGGCGTTTGATCCCAGGCAAAGCAGCAAACTGAGCATCGATCTTCTCTCCTCTTAAATAGGGACCACAATAGCGCGCCGGAAAAAGGGTTCCTTCGACAATCCAGTCTCAGTGACACGCTCTCTAAATCCCCCGAAACATCCCGGCTTCGTCGTTGATCGAGCATTAAAACCGATTTCAATTTCGGAAAAAAAAAAAAAAACACCAAATCACACGGACAGAGTGAGTGGTCTCTCGATGTTTTATTGATATAAAAACGTTTATTCGATTGACGGTAGGCGAGCAACGAATCGCCGCTGATTAATTATAAGACGGACTCGTGTGAAATTAATGATTGCGCGCAATGTAAATCTTTATGGCGACAAGTACGTCCCGTTATAAATTCTACTCGTGTTCCCACCGTTATCCCGTGTACACGTGCGTGTTGTACACGATGTCTGTACGATACACCCACAATCGATCATATATATATAATTGAAGTAAACACATTATCGGCAAAGCTTTTAATCTAGCATGCAACTTGTTGGCCCAAGTCGCGAGGGACGCGCGATAAATACTGCTGGCAAATAATTTTAATGACCGTATTAAAGAATTATGAGATCGTCGTCGTTGTGTTGTTGTTACTGTTGGTACATTAGGATGACAAACAAGCTGGAGAACTAGTGGAAGGCATTTTGTCATCGGTAGAAATTATGCGTTTCAGGGCTTTGAGAGTTTCGACAATCCGAATGGTCAATGTTTGTCAAACGAAAACCTAATATTCTCTCGAGACAGTAATTTGTCAGTTTAGGTAGCTACCGATGGTAGCAGGATTTTTCGGGGTTCCCCCGGGTAAAAAATTCTCACGATGCAATTAAATTCCCTCGTGAAGGAAGAAAATTGGAGAAGAAAGTTCAGAATTTTTTTACCAAAGATATCTCTATGGAAAATTCATTTCTTTCCGTGTGTTCTTTAGACGTTCGTCATGCAGATACACGATGTAGGAAGGTTGTAGGATACGGTTTCTTCAACTCACCTCGATTCTTTCTTCCTTGAGATCGACCTGAAGAGCGAGTTGTTCTCTCAAGATCACGTCTGGATAGTGTGTCTTGTCGAATGTTGCTTCCAGTTGTTCCAGCTGTTCTTCTGTGAATATCGTCCTGTGGCGACGCTTCCTCTTCGCCATAGGTCCTATCGCCGCTGCGTTTGGATTTATTTGATAGGGATGAGCCGCGTGATAGAACGCCGGCTGACCGTGAAGAGAAACGCCGGCGGCTGCCATTTCTGCTACGTAACCGCCGGAGTATAAACTAGGATATGCTGCAGCTGGAACGAGAAACAAATGGGAAAAAACCATTAAAGAAATTTCAAAACTCTTTCAAACCCTTTAAAAAATAAGCACTGTACCGTTGATAGAAAGAACGAAAGAAACGGTGAAAAATTTGAAGTAAGGTAATCGTTTAATTTGAGTGTACAAATGATCGATGATCTATGGAATGTTAAAATGATAACGTCCCTCGACATTTCACAACCCTATTCGAGGCACGAGGGAAACGAAAAATACTCGAAGGCCCGAGCCCCAAGGGATGTTTTGGTTTAAAATCTCGAAGAAAGCTGCTTAGAGGCGACGTCTCTGCATAAAAATGTGCGAAGGGCGAATTTATGCTTTCAACTGGCGTCACTCGCGATTCTCACTCTTTTCTCTTTCTCTTTCTTCTTCCTGCTTGCCGTAGTTGCATATTTTTCCTTCTCGTTTTCTCTCGCCTTTCCCGGCCGTGGATTGCAGAGGAGCTAAATCGTTCGTGCGTGATCGAAACGGATTGCGGATTTCAGCTCGCGCATCCCCAATCTGCGGCGTGGTTCTTGCGGGTGAAATACTTAAAGCCTTCGGGGGCATTAAGGAAATTTCGTTGCGGAACGCGTCGGGCCTCCGAGGATTTACGCCTTCTTTCATTTTTCCGCTACCAGACGCCCTTCTCCTAGCGCGACGTAATATACGCGGAACCGCGGGGCAGGCTATTTGTGAATTAGCACGGAACCCTCTGTACAGATATTTCGTTCGAGAATTTTTAAATATCGGTACGAAATTTTACATAGGGAAGAACTCGATAGGCAACAGTTGCTTTATGAATGATATTAATTGCATTTCGAAGAAGATTTGAGAAACTTTCAACTATGTACCTCTGCGTAGTGCAAATTTGTAATTTTGAGATTTCAGTTTCTCCTAAATTCGAAATTTGAAACATACCATTTCAAGTTGTCGAAGAGTGCGCCATTTCAAATTTTCAAGAGCATCTTAATCTCAATTCTAAGTTTCCCGAATTTCCTCAATCTTGTTTCTCAATCTCATTTCTCAAATATTGTGATCAATCTCACTTCTTAAATTTTCTCAATCTCACTCCTCAAATTCTCTCAATCTCATTTCTCAAAAACCACCCCCAAATTAATTTGGAACTTTCTTCCAAGCGAACCTCTAATTTCCATAATTAAACAAGCAAAACTTCCCTCGAAACCACTTACCAAACAAATCGGCGGACGTGAAGGCCAGATGATGGATCTGCTGTTGTAGCGGATGCATCGCTGTGGTTCTCGATGGCGATCCTACGGCTTCCGGGTTCTGAATGATAGACCCTAGGCCACCAGTACTGGTGGGTGTCATATTTCCAATGGGTCTAGGCGCTAAAATATTCTCGATGGTGAAGGCAGACGTAGGGGAGGACATCGTGGCGGAGGAACTCGGTCTAGAAACCTCTCGTGGTCTGAATCGCATCTCATCCGAGCTCACTGGACTCCTGGAGAACGTTTTGTCACGTCCATCGATATCGTGCCTTCTTCCAGACACATTGTTCTGCTCGTCGTTACCCTTCAACTTCTGTTGCAAACTCTCAGGTGAATAATTGTAAAGATAACGATGACCATAACCGGATATTCCGGGACCATCTTGAAGAGGACTCGACGGCTCCGTCATGGGAGAACGCGATCTGGGCGAATCACTCGCATAGGTGCTTTCTACCATGTTACGTGTATCTACAATTGTCTTAAACTCAAATTTTCACCGATGTAGCAATCGTTTTCTTTTTAACTTTTTTAACGATCGTTCGATAAGTATTGATCGGTAAAATGTAGATCACGAGAATGAGTACGATTAAGACCGGCGTAAAAACATTTTTTTCACCGCAGGACAAATATACTCTACATCCACTGGTCCTCGCATCGGTATTCTTGAAAATGATACAAAAGCTTCTCTCGATATTTCATTCGATACTATCCTCGAAGTATACAACGCCTTCACAGTCGAGCGTTCGTTACTTTCCGTACAAAAAAGTCACATATCCAGAGCACCGAATTCTAATCCCTTGCACTATATACAACATTTAAGTCCTTGTTATCGTAAGATTCTTCGAGGTTCCTTCCAGTCCCATCACAGATAAACACCCCCGGTACATACACTCGCTAACTTTCCTTCAACTTCTCACAACTTCAATCCAAATTCTCCTCAAAATTCCTTCCTGCAGAAAATCGTGTCCAGTCACTTCTTCGTACCAATCGAATGGTGTTCACACGATGAAAGAGAGAGAGAGATCGAGAGAAAGACTGTTTTCGAAGAATCGTTCGTCGGAACGATGCATTCGCAAAACGTTCATGCGAATCGTGATGCGACGACGTATCGATGACGACGATGATTCGTCTGGCCGGCGACAGAGAGCCACGAGGACGACAGCGAATCCGACGCGCGTGTAGAAGTCCAGATGTGCAGCGAGTGACACCGATGATAAAGGATATCCGACGACTGGTCCACTGGTTTGCTCGCTCGTGTTGACCTCCGGGGGTGCGCTTAGATTCGCCGGCATCCACGGGTACACGGTTAGGCAGCCACCCCCGTGTTAGTGACAGAGGGACAGAGACACCCTCGAATATATCCAGCGAAGTTTTGCCAACGCAGGGAACGGGGCGTGGCCCACCCTGGCTCCATCCACTTTTCCACCACCCCTCGGTCGCTCGGCATCCCCTAACGCGACTTGTAGAGAGAAGCAGTGGGCTAGCTGGCACAGGGAGGAGGGGAGAAAGCTGAAACGAGAAACGAGACAGAAAGTGAGCGAGAGAGTGAGAGAAAGGAAGAGAAAGAGAATGCATACACGTGTGTATACGCGCGCGCGCGCGTGTGTGTGCAGTAGAGATGGAGGGAATCGAGTCGTGGCTCGACGATGGTTTCCGGGAGGATGCAGGCGGAGGTGCAATCTCCTGACGACAGTACGATGGTTTGGGGTAGTAAAAGTGGGGGAGGAAACGTCGAACGGCCCGGTAGAATGCCCTTTCAACCCTGTCGACGCACGTCGGGTTTCGTACACCCTTATCACGAGAGAGAGAGAGGGAGGAAGAGACAGAGGAGAGGAACCCAGTACTGCGAGTGCACCGGTGGGAGAAACGTATTTACAACGGATAATCACGATGTGTCTCGCGTATTACAGAGCTTTCCGAGTTTGCCTTGCGAATCGTATTCACGAATTAATCATGCTTCCGGAAGTGTTTGGATTCGGACGGGGCTACGATCGGCGGCAATTCGCTCGGTATTGTTTCTGAAAATAATTTTCGCGGTTCCCCTCTCGGCTAACGGAATTCGTAACCGATTGGCGGAGTAGGGAAGAGGAGACGGTGTGTGGGATTATTGTTTCGGATGTTTCATAATTTTTAGCAGATTTTTTTCGATTTTTCGTACGTTTGCGAAGGAATAAACGTGTGATGATAATAATACGGGGATATTTACAAGGATAAACTGAATAATTAAATTAGGGCATTATGCAAAATATAGCAGACGATTTCTCTGGTTACAACTGCACAATCATAGGATATCCAGTTAAATAATTTTCAATACATTAACGACTAAACGCGTAAATTAATCAACACTCCGAACACATCCGAACAATTTATAATATTAGTAATTCAAAATTTCTGTTACGACCGGAAATTCGAGTAGGAAATTACGCGTAGTTTTGAAGTAACAGTTACCTATACCTACCTGTAAATGATTTAGAGACAGGTACGACGAGAGGAGACCGGTGAAATTTCCAATTGTGAAATACCGAAAATATCATTGGATATTTTTTAATCTACGTTATATATAACGCATTATACGTCGCGTATTATGGGTATCACGTTCGCGATACACAATCATATTCACATCATGCGGATGAAACTGGCAAATTGTCTCGTGTGCTGCACGTCGACCGGTATCGGCGCGCTTGATTGATTCGCAAATTGGAAACGAGCTGACTGTACAATACCGTTCGTCGTTTTTCACGTATAAACGGAACAATTTTTTTCCATAATACCTATTGTTCAGATTTGAGGATATTATGATTTTAATGCGTGGATTACACCGAGCTCTCGAATTATCGAACGCAAATTCGACGCCACGCCGCGTCGCTCCTCGTTGTTATTTGCATAAACAACGAAATACATAGTCGATTTAATGCAGGAAAACCGGTGCAACGTTAAACCTGTATAAATTCCGACATTCTGTTACATCTAACGCATAATAGCGTATAGGTGTACGTACGCTATTACCATGGTTCCAACGAAAGGAGACGAGTGATCTCTATCGATCGGAAAGATGCTAATTAATTTGTCGATCACTGACCTATGTACACTTCCGTTCCTAAGTGTTAGGTAATACACTTATGTCGTCGTCGAATTATTAACACTGGAAGAATTGGTTGGGTCAAAAATGACCCATTGGCAATTTTCCAAGAAAAGTGAATGTTCGATATCGATGCAACGACACTTTTCGACATTGTTTTCTGCATTATATTAGGTTGTCCGGAAATAAATTGCGGTTTTCTGTTATATCGTATTTAGGGCTTTTCTATACTATATATTTTAAATTTACGTTTATTAAGTAATATACCATTTGAACGCGCAGATGTCGCTCTATCATATAAGCGACACACTTTTGTTTTTTACCGTCATTTGTTCTGAGTATAACTTAAAAACGTAACAATGGACAAGAAGCAAATTCGTAGCATATTTTTATATGAATTTAAATTAGGACGTAAAGCCGCGGAAACTGGCCGCAATATCAATCGTGTATACGGTGAAAGCACAAAAATGTTATTTGTTAGACAAGCAAGTTTGGTAAATCGTAAGGGACATACTCCTACACGATAACGCCCGCCCGCACGTATCGCAATTCACGATTCGGAAGATACACGAATTGGGTTATGAAACATTAAAACACCCTCCTTATTCCCCCGACTTATCCCCTACAGATTGCCATTTTTTTAAACATTCGGATAACTTTTTGCGAGAAAAAATCTTCCACAATACCTTCGTGGAATTTATTAATTCTAGAACTCCTGATTTTTATTGTAATGGAATAGGAACTCTTGTAAAACGTTGAAAAAAGTGTATAGAATCTAATGGAAATTATTTCGATTAAGTAAATTCATTCTATGCAAAACTACACGTCTTTAAATCTCATGTACAGAAACCGCAATTTATTTCCGGGCCTAATACTTCTATTTGCATCGATATGAATCTAATTTTTCAATCACGTGAAGATTCACTTTCGGAAAATTGCTAATGGGTCATTTTTGACCCGACCGCTCCTTCTATTTAGTGTTATAATCCTAAAAAATCTGAAATCTCGTAATTAAAGAGTACATATATGTTCACTGATAAATGATAGTAATTTTGGTGAACAAATTTCATTTAAATCCTATAATACTTTATGTACGAACATAATTCGTGTCCTAATAGTTATGAACGCTAGTGTATGTATTAAAGCACCGATATTGCGATATTTGATATTTGAACACTTATAAGATTACCTGCACAATATTCGACGCTATTGGATGAGATTTTGCAACATTTAATTTTTACACTATACAGGGTGTCTCGGCTGATTTTGACATCTTGATTTTCTCGTTATTATTACTCAGAGCGAAATATGTTTCAGATGAAAGTGAAACTTTTCCACTCGTGAAAGAATTAATAACACCAGAATATACCCCCTTCGACACCGTTTAAATTTCATCTGAAACATTTTCCGCTATGAGTAACAATAACGAGAAGATCAAGATGTCAAAATCAGCCGAGACACCCTGTATATAAAACCTAAAATCTAAAAAGGAACAACCATTTTGTCCGAAAAACCAAAGAACCAACCAGAATCTCCTAAACGCGCAATGTTAGAAACCATACATATCGTCGTCTCTCCCCAAAACCAAATCGTTGATCCGGCAGATCTGTTCAATTATTCAAATCCCGCCCAATGCGTCCGTATTAATAACATAAAACCGTTGTAATGTGCATTGACTGTCGTCGTTATTGTTGTCGGTGGCCCTCGGTGGGGAGGATCGTGATGCGATACGTGGAGAACCGAGCGTGAAAAGGTTTTTCATAGGGCGCGCACGTACCCCGGACATTGTCGTTACCCCCGTGAAACACCCCACCTCCCTTATATCCATAGGGCAGTAGAGAATCGGTACGTGCACACTTCAAATCCCGAAGTCCGCATCGAAATCTGTGCCAACCTTAATCCTAATCCGTACGTTAATCGTGGCCCGATCCGTAGAACTGAGATCCCATGGCCTCGTATGTTACCCACCGGTTTACCAAGGACCATCGTTCGATCACGAGAGAGAACCATACTGTATATACATTCTCCGAACACCGTGGAAGCGTCTATGATGCTACAGAGAGAAGACGATCCTCCCTTTGTTCGACGAAGTCGTGAATTTCATTAACACCATATCGAATAGATACACGGTGTTCATCTCTGATTCATTTCTATGTCCATCCCCGGTATTCGTATGGAAATCAGACGGGACCAGTGAGCGATGGACGGCTTAGAAAGTGATCTCGTTACCAGTTTCAACGACTTTCAGATTTCTGTGCCGGATGGACAAAGTGTGAATTAGAGAATGGCTAAATGGTTGTAATCTATTGAAGATTGTGAGAACTCGAAGCTACCAAGGTGAACCGAAAAGTGCAACGAAGATGGTCCTGAATTCAATG